TAGACTCTTGGCGCCATTCATTTAGTGCAAGTGTTTCGTGTGACTTCTGAAACATTGATTCCAAATTCCTTTAAAACCATTCCGTTGATCTCGAGTTTATCGCACCGGCATCAAGGTGCGTTCCTGTGGCCCGGGCGTTGGATCTGGATCGTTCAAGTACTAAGGGAAACTAGAGCGTCATTTCCTAGGGATTGAGGACCCCGGATTTTGTCTATATAACAGCTACCCCACGTTTGGGCTCAAATCACATTGATTGCCCGATATACTCTTTCTAGCAGAAAACATGCCTCACACGTTGACTTACGGTACTGAAAGTGTGGACAACAAGGCCATTGGTGGTGTTCCAACTATCCATTACTTTGACTTTCAGTCGAGAGGTCGTGGCCAAGCTGTTCGACTTATGCTTATCGTAAGTTGATAAACTTCTTAGAGTAAAATACTCATGGTTGTCATTTTTGCAGGATGCTGGTGCAGCTTATCAAGATGTCCGATACACTTTTGAGGAATGGCCACAGCACAAGCGCAGTGGACCCATTGCTGAGATGAACCCATGTGGAAACATACCTATTATTGAGATGCCAAACGGCAAGATCCTCACTCAAAGTTATGCAATTTTGAGGCATTGGGGAAGGCAATTGGGAGCTTATGATGGCAAGACTGAGGACGAGAAGTACTGGGCAGATGCGATTTGTGATATTGTAACTGACTGTTGGTCACATTCCTCACAACTTTGGTTCTACAAATATGGCTCTTGGCTTACATATATATCAAGGGCGAACTCTTTTTATCGGCGCTTTTTTCTCGGACAACCAGAAAGAGGATTATCCCAAGCACAAGCAGGGCAACCGAGCTCACATTCTGAAGGCCATCGAGACACATCTAAAGAGTTCGGATCTTTCTCGGAAAGGACCATTCATCATCGGGAATGAAATTACATACGCGGATCTAGTTTTGTTCCAATTATGCCATGATGAGAACTTAATCCAAGACGGGAGAGAGGGTTTGAAGGAATACCCAAGATTGATTCAGTTGGTCGATGCTGTCCAAAGTCGACCAAACATCAAGAAGTTTTTTGAGAGTGACGCTTACTTGGGTTGAAGGCCGAGAGAGGATTAAGACCAACGAAATGCAATTTGAAAGCTTTATAGATGCCCTGGATCCGGTTATAGATGCGATTAACCACCGCGCGATTTACTCGCCCTATATCTTCCCTGGAATCGGTGATATTTAGAGCTGCTTTTCGAACCGCTAGCATGTAATTCCGCGCTGGAGCCCCAAATTCCACCTTGTCAACAACTGCCGGCCCCCAGATTCCGCCCTTTTGCGTCTAGCCTCCCTGTATTTGTCTCTGGTTTTTGCGTTCGACTCGATAATTGCATCGGCTCTCCCGAAAATATCCTTGAACCTGCCGGTATTTCCCTGCAGTTCCCATGACCCATCACTTTTGACTGCTCTTTAAACGTCTTCAATAAGGAATTCTAATTCGTCTCGCTTGTCGATTAAAAGCTCCAGTGCCCGATGCTGCATTCCAGCTCTCGCATTTTGATCCTCACAGGCTTCCCAAAGGGTAACGCTATCGGTGGTATACTGCAGCTACCAGCCTTGTATGATATAGATTTAGCTTTGTCTAGACCGCTCCCAATTACCGCAACCCCTATCTCTAGATCTATCAGATCTGTATATTCCTCCTTAGCCTTGTCATTCGCCAGCGCCCTCCTTTTCTTAGCTTCTCTTTCTCACTGTTTTGCGGTTCGGCTTGATATAGCGCTCGCTTCGAATGGTCTGCAAAGGTCCGGGGGCTGCACTGTGGATTTTTTTGTTTTCAAAAGAGAGAAATCCCTAGAGGATTTTAAGCCGCGACCCTTCTATAGTCCGGACCTCTCGCTCAGCGGTCCGCGACAATCTCAACTTTCATTCTTTTCTCACGATTGAATTCAATTCGGCCCCGCTTTTTGATTGTGATTATCACTTTCTTCAAGACTCCCAAAGAATATTTAATCGCCCCTCCACTCTCAAAGATTTCTTTCCTTCTTTTTAATCTTTTTCGCGCACTTTAATCGGTAAGCCAACCCTTCCCCCCTCTCTCACCCCCCTCGCCCGCCTACTCTTCTCACCAACACCTTTCCGTTACAGATCTTTCAACTCGGAGTCTTCACCATGACGAAGTTACCCACGACAGTAGAGCTGGCAGCACGCTGCGTCTTAGTAGTCGAACTCGGCGGTCTCCATATCCTCGATCTGGTCGCTATGCTCGCTGACGGTGTCTATGTGAAGGACACATTCTCAGAGGTTCCTTTGGCTATGTTGATGGTCGCGCAGCAGACAGGAGTCGTTCGTCAGAAAGAAATCGAGGCTGCCCAAGTGCCTTTCGTCAAAGGAGCAAAGCTCCGGTCCAGCCAGGCCTTCGTCCCCCACCTCGGAAAGCCCATCTACGCACCCGACGGCAAAATCCTTGTACTCGATGGTCGCCCCTTCAATGGCAACTTGGCAGACGGCACATTCGAAGTTTCGCCTATACTCACTAAGGATCTCCCAAAACACTGCGAATGGTTTGAGAAACTGCTGTACTCTGGAGCTCCGACATACAAGAGAACCACGAAGTTTAAGACTAAGCAGGAAACTGATAACCACGTCAATAGTCAAGCGTACAACCCCGGCCCCCTTTCCGTCAAGATGTCAAAGTTCCCGCAGCACCTCGCATTCCTGAAATCTCTCGCATCTGGTACTGGCAAGCCCCCCGCAAAGCGATCCGCTACTGGCGCTGAAAATCTCGGTATACCAAAACCCTCAAAACTTCCCCGAAATGGCCCGAAAAAGAAAGACCTGTTTAAAGAGCGAGTTGAAAGCGATGACAACGATGGCGATTCTCAACAGCGATTCGAAACGGAGGCTTCAATGTACAATCCTGCGCCATATGAGGATCATCTGGTAAGTGCCCCAATTCCCATCCCCGGCCCGGGAATGGAAAAGCTGGCAAAACGGGGCTCACTGCCAGATAATAGGAAAGTAAGAGGAAGACCATGCTCAATTTGAAAGCTCCTCTCCCTACAACCAAGCCTGAGACTCCAGCGAGCGAGGATGATGTTTTGAGCAGCTCTGAGATTGCGCAACCCAAAAGCCAGCACCGAAGCTCTCGGCAGAATAGGCAGAGAAAACCTGAGATTTCCGCCAAAATGCCCGTCGCATTGTCCGCGAAGTTACTTGAGCCCGAGAGCGCTGCGATGCCCAGGCCTGCAAAAAGAATTGCTGGCATTGAGAAGCGACGTCCGGCGATGGCAGCTCAGAAAAAGGAGAAGCAGGACAAAAAGATTAGGAAGGTAGTAGCGGCAGATGCGAGGAAGAGAAGACGCGAGCTCGGGGAGGTGCTCGCGGTAAACGCCCGGATATCTTTCTTGCGCGCGAAACTGCGGCTCCTAAGGCGCGCGAGAATGCGGTTGATACGATGATTAGGCGCGGGAGTGCGAGTGTTCTCGACAGGGAGGAGGGAAATGAAGGCATTGATTCTACTGAAGATGGTCTTCTTGCGGTGGCTGGATTCGGCAAGAAGGCTGGAATTCCTGCATACTCTCCAAACTTGCGCCTGACTCCTTATGATCTTACAGTCCATACCCCTGAGCCCCGCAATAATGGCGATTAGATAAAAATTCTTGTGCCCGCGCAAAAGCGGAAGGGGCCCATAGCATGGATTGCCCGCCATGATAGGGATTAGCGATCGGATAGCGATTGCAAGTTTCTTTCTAAATACAAAACTTTTCTCCTCTTCTCGCGCTCCGCTCGATACTTGCTAATCCGCCCCGAGCCTATCAGTTTTCCGCTCTCTAGCTCCGCAATATAATAGCTGCCACCCGCTTATTTACCAGCTCGCAAATTTCATTCATGGGCCCGGGAAAGCAGCGAGGCTCAGGGTGGAAAACTCGCAAAGTCACATCGACCTATATCATTGTACGAATCATTCGCAAGGCTTGAGTTTTATGGCCTAGTATCTCAACTCGCATCTTGAAAGTCTATAAAGAACGCAACAAGCCAATCAAGACTCGTTAAAAGCCTATCAAGCCCGTTGACAACCAGGACTGCAGGAATGCTAGGTACACGGGCTTTGACAAGAAATGCTGTAATCGTGCTGGACACGAGTCCAGGCCCGGGGCACGGCTTATTGGACAAGTGGCCGGGTATGGGCAGTCGGGTTTAATCGTTTTCAGTGCCATACAATTGGCCATGCTTCAGCTCGATAAAGTCCAAGGATCGGTGCAGAAGTTTTAGTATCTGCGATACGTCCGAGCTTCCTGAAGTGCGTGTGATCAGCATCGAAGCGGAATCAGTCGGCATGATGTAGGTGAGCGAGGGTACTTGTGGGTATGCTTTCGTCGGTAAAGAGAGTGCTTAAAGTTGGATTGTAATGAAAAGAGATTGATGAGAGGAGAGGGAAAGTCAATCAAATACTGGAACGAAAATGCTTCTCCCTGTTATTACATTTTGTTATAAGTGGCAATAGAACTTTCAATGAGTAAGCAATTGGGACCCTTTCGGCAACTACTCCTTCCTGCCAACCATCGCGCATCTTTATATGCAGAAGTTGCGCTGCTACTTGCCTCCATATTTACTTGCAAGCCATATCGGTAGTACGATACAGGCAGTAAAAAAATAAAATTCTTTCAGGATCTCATGAGCTGTGTTCTCTCTTTCACTACCTTAATTACTATCAGACGTTCATATTTGTTTACTCGGGATTGTCGTCTCAGGCATCGCCAAACTTGCCGCTCCCTTTCCCTCGCTTCCCCTGGTCCCCAGCTTCCAACTCTTGCCATTGCCTGTGGAGCGGGGTGGACACACCAGGGTTAGGCCACCCGGCGCAACTTCGGCTTAAGAGGTAAGTTCCACGAATTACACGCAGATTTTGCTTCAACCATCTATAGGCTAAAATAAGCACATTTCGTCTCAAAAACAGCTCGGCTGGCGCAATGTTAGTTTCTCCATTTCTCTCAGCCAAGTAGTGATATTAACGATTTTCCAGGGTAGCGCGCGAGACTTCTAATCTCGAGGCTGTGGGTTCGAGTCCCACGTCGAGTGGAAAACGCTGGGGAGTACATTTTTTGCATTTTTTGGAAGGTGACGGGAGAAAATTTTCCCGGAACTTGACGTAAAAATGAACAATGGTCAGACGAAAAGGAGTATCTTTTTGGCATTTTCTGTTATTTCGTCCGAAAAGAGTGGCCGGTGATCTTTTTGCAATAGCCTCCAAGGAAGCGACAGTCATAAATATCAATGAGGTTGGGCGAGATTTTGACTGATACTTATAAATACTTTCTACTTTTTCACAACACGAAAATCTGTTAGGACGTTTTCTTCCTATAGAATTAAGTCATTTATCGAACATCCAAAGAAGAGTTAGTGTTTTTAAGTCATCATAGTCGTACATTTCGCGCAAAATACGCAGATGGTTTTTGCATCGAACTACCATCAATTGATCAACGGAGTTTGACTTAGAAGCGTGATACTTTGTACTCAACGTATAATTCCACTAGCCTATGTACACAAATCTTTCCCTTCTTTGCTCATTGGTACAATCTCATCTCTCTTTATCGATAATATATTTTGAGCCTATGGTGTAACCGGGACAAGATAACTAACCACTGAGTACGCCCTACATATACTCGGAAGCTAAAAAAGAGGATCGGATGAAAGAAAACAGGACTCAAGTAGGCAAAAGTAGTTTTAATGCATTTGACGGTGTGAGGAATTATGATATGTCACTTGATTTATGCTGCGGCTGTACAGTTATCAAGCATGTATTTCTCGTTCACTGAGAGGCAAATTGAATCATCTTCGGCGTTGCTCGCTTAAAATAGTATAGACCAAGTTCTAAAATCTAAATATCAACCCATAAATAATAATATATCCCGTACCTCAAGAAGCTTATCATGACCACACCACACTTGCAGTTATTTCCGATCGAAGCCTGTGTTTACGATGGTCGAAAATCGCTCATCGTAGTTTCCAGGGGAGATGCGATGCCAGTCGGAGATCTGTGAACCAAATAAGATCTTAAACCCCGCAAATATGGCTTTCCCGGAGCCAAAACTGGCGCCGGGATACAGGCTTAGCCCGGTGTCTACGACGGATCATCGCTGCCACCTCTTGTACTGTTGGCCGAATCCTGCTTTTCCAGCATGATATTGATAAAATCCGCGGAAATACAAAACTGGCTGGAACATCCACCACAGGTAATATACATTGCTCTTCCCGAAAATCATGCCGTTGAAGCTGAGGTTGAATGATCCTTTCTTCACCTTACCGTCTTTCGGACTATATCTCCCTCGGAATTATCCGAGACACAGAATGAATGCATGTGCAGATCGCCACTTTTTAAGATCGAATACTCGACATGCGGGCGTTTTCCCATCCTTTAAATTCGGCTTCTCCAAGCGAAAACAAGCCGAAACCGCGGCAATGACATTCCGGTGCTTAAGGCTTCTCATTTTCACCCCATCCATGTTCCAAATGTGCTCAACGCGCATACTGTCGTCAGCATGGCTGATATCTTTTCGCTGGATTTCTTGGTAGAAAATTTCCCCACAGCAGCCACCAGTGTCTGATAACACCATGGCTTATTTCGCCACTTCCAGAACACAGCAATATCTGAAGTATGTAGGATATCTAAATGTCAACTATATCTCACGGATTCCTCAGTATGGTTAGTTGCATCTCGAAAGTGTTCCCGGGCTTGAACGTTGAAGGGTAGAATTGCTTTTCCTGGGGTACCAGTCAAAGCGAAGAAGGGTGGATGCAAGAAGTGTGGGATCAAACCACACATCCAAATTGATCATTGGAGGCGATGAGTTGCCTCTTTTGATTTATTGGAAGATCTGGGGAATCTATCACGGATACTCGAACGCCCAAGTTCCCAACAACATAACCTGCATCTCCCCAGTTCCACCGTTTGATGTCGCTGGCATGGTTATATCTATCAGAGGTTCATCTTGCTTGAAAATCCTGTTATTCTTCAAAGGTCTTTGCAATTGTGATACATTTCGCAACGGTAATCTAGTCAAGCTTCAAAGGTTGTTCCAGTATATCTGCTGGAATTTATTGCATCTTTCTTAAATAAACTTTCAAGTTTCTCTTCAGCGTTATCTCCCCAAAGTGTAAGTTTCAGATTCGCCTACTTCCGAAACTTTGATCTAATGTATAAAGCTTCCGGTTCTGGCGATGTCGAGCCTTACCAGCATTGTTCGTCTTCTGGAATCATTCGTTGAGATAGTCAAGGACGATGCAAAGACCTTACAAATTATCAATCCAGTGGATTGCACCATGAGAGGGAGGCAGTCGCGATGGGCTCGGTTAGATGAATTTGAATCCTGGCATACACAACAGATTGTTTGGATTCGACACAGGAATCCCCAACCAACACTGGAATATATCTGCGTCGAGGTGGCTAAGTGCTTGGGAAGCGCTACCCGCAAGACCAGACGTCTCAAGAATAAATTTTCGGAGTACATACGCAACTCTGCTGACTATCGGGAAGCTCGCCATTTGGCCCTCCAGGCCTTGAACGACGTAATCAGAGCCTTGAAACAATTCGAAGTCGTTGCTCTCAACCGAACACTGCAGGATTCTGAGAACTTATTCTTGATCAAGGAACATTTCAAAGGCGTACTTGAATTGTCCATAATTCTCGGGAGATTACTCGACTGTACTGGCAAATACGAGTCTTGGTTCGCTGCCTTTGATGGAGAAATCTCGAATGGGTTCAAAACCTTTCGGTTCGATAGCCTGCAAACGAGCTTTGCTCAGGTCGACAATCCGCATCTAAGTGGCGCCATTGTGGACCCAAACAGTATTCCTGCTTCGTATACACCTGTTGAGCCAAGTCCTCCACGATTTGTGCTTAATGACGAATTTTACGGACCATCAATCCTTTCAAATAAACCCGACTAAAGGTCGGTTCTAATACTTACGCTTTATCATCCTCCGAAAAGACTAACACGTGGCATTAAGAGCTATCAATGTTTATTATTTTGACTTCATCCTCTCTAGCAGCAAATACGATGCTGTTCAGATAAGACGTTCCGGGAACGAACATATACGTTGCCGCTAGACTTCTCAATGCTCGAAATCTAGCGGGAGATTCCCAGCCATCTCAGTTCCGCTGCTTGGGTGGATACTGCCTAGAAAATCATGTCGTTACAAAACTTTCACAGGAGTACTCTATTCTCTCGCTTGTTGTCAAAATATTCTAGCTCCGCCAATGTTTCAAATTCATGGGCAAAGCCTACTCTATGTGTATCTGCTTCAAGCCACATTGGCCAGTTGTTACACAGAGAAAGCTCCGTTATTTGACACTGGGGGAATGGATGAAACAGAAATGCTTACGAAGTGCATTTTGCACCTCGAGTGATTTGACGCCACGCCCTCCACTTCTGCCACTCATCTCTCTCAAATGATCTCAAACCCTTCATCACTACCATCCTCGAATGCATGCATTGCATGCTCGGCACTATTCCTTAGCCACAGTCGTACATATATTTTCTTTTTCTCATTCTCGTATCAGCATGCCGACTCCTCGAACGCTTTTCCAGCCACTGCGCTACCGATCACTATGGATTGGCAAGAGAGTCGAAAATCGCGAGCCGTATTCCGCATCGGTTACCGCATCGCTGGGCTTCTCTGTGGAAATTCCCCGCGCCGACGGCATTGACCTCCTGCCGAAAATTTTGGATCTATCATCGGTTGCAACGGCACAGCGGCCAACAAGCATAAAGGCATTGGATATAGGGGCACGACTCTCTTACAATAATTCGTGGAGAAGTGTCGCGGGCAAATATTTCGGTCTTTAAACCAGGTTTTTCTTAAAGCGGCCGAAATACCAATGTTGCATTTTGAAATTCATGGATCATGGGTAACAATGTTTCTTCCTCCTCCCGCCTCACTTTTCCCTTTTGTCCCGCTCCACCCCTTACACCTCACCCCAAATTCTCCCTGCAACAACCATCGCATTTCCTCTTTCACACCAGCTGCGTTACCTAGACGCAGGAAAGAAAATCGAACGATCGAAGTCCTCAAGCCTAAGAACTCTTAGGCTATGAGTGGTCAGCTCTATCTACTTCAATGCAAGGTTTAAGGGAAACATACACGATGCACAGTGATGGTGCTAGTGATTGTAGTCGTGAAGTATTTCGTATGTGTTGTTGTCAACCTGCGAGGTTTTAGCATGCTTCTCCTTTCCCAAATACTAAGAATACTTACCCATCACCACTACCACTCTCTACCAATCTCGGATTTTTCGAGCTGCTCTTCGTCAGCTCTCTGTCAATATCTCTTGCCATGCCAGGGAACTTACGCATCAGCAACTTGACTTGCACCAACACCATGTGCTAACTCAAGCGTCCTGGTCACAGTCTGCGTCTTTCCCGTCTTCGTGATAGTCGTCGTCCTCGTCGTCGAACTCGCCAACTCCCCTAAAAACACCGGTGCCACCTCGCCCTGAGCAGCATGTTCCGTCCTGCCATTGCACTTATCACAAATCCTCACCATTCTCGTCGTAACCTCCTTGCTCATCGCCACATATGGGAACTCGCTACTCATGACGAACTTTCCCGCCTTCACAGCGAAGGACTCCGTCTGAGCGACAACAAAGATACCAGCGGTCTTGAACGCGGTTGATGTTTGGATGGTTGAGGTGAGTGTTATGGAGATGTCTGCAGTGTGCACGACCCAGACTTCCTTGATGGCCTCGCAGGTTTGCTGGTTGTTGTGATCTATTTTGCATATTAAGACGGTGATATTTGTAGGTGCTTGTTGGAAGTTGGCTGCGACAGATTGCCATGGTGCGAGGTAGTAAGATACGATGTCTTGTATGAATGTTGTTGGACTTGGACAAGGTAGTTGTGTTTGTTTTGAGACTTCTCGTGCTCGTAAAACTGTTGTTGGTGTAGGACTTGGTGGAATGGTGGCAATGGAGTAGGTATTGTGTGTAGTGAAGGTTATGGTTTGTGAGCAGTCAGTGACTATGGCGAGTCCTGGGAGGATAGTTGAGCATATGGTTGTTGTGATAGTCTTGTATGCTG